GAAGTGGTGAAAATTGAAAAAAGAGAGTAGATCAATCAATGATCTATTATACAGCCAAACCATTTCAATAGTTCTGCTACCTGCTTATTAAAAGAAGGAAAGTGACCCCCTAAAATCATTCTTCCTTTATATAATTGAAGTTGATTTTACAGGGTATATCAGTCTATTTTGTTTTTTGTTTGGAAGCCAATGAACTCAATGTGAACAACTAGCTATTGCATGGTACTCAGGAACACTGGTGAGTTTATTAAATTTTACTTATACTTGCTACTTCATTTTTACATGTAGCAAGGAGTCTTGGGAAAAAAGGCAATCAACTTCTTCTTTCCAAAGGATTTTTCAAATAAATTTGTTCAGCATGGAGGTGAATATGAATCCAAAGCTCTTTCAAAATGTTCATTGAAAATGATATTGAATTTCAAATCATGCAAACTAATTTGTGTCCCAATATTTTCCATGGTTAGGATTTTCTCAATATGAAATTATTTTTCAGGAAGGAAGACCATGGAAATAATTGAAATAAGTGTCCTTACTGAGGTCCTTAATAGAGGTTTGTTAAATAATGTGTATTACATTCAGCTTGAATTATTTTCTCAAAATTTTAGGTAAAGGTTCAGAACATTTTGTGGAACAATGCCATTTCTTGATAGGAGATGGTATAAAAAATGTGAAGTTGGAAGAGAGACACACTTATTATGGATAAATTCAGTTGGGAATAATGGCCCTAAAATGTCCCTAATGAACTTGAAAGAAACTAATTTTCTTGTATGATTCTTCTTCCCCCAAAACTTACATAAAGATTCCAGTTTTTTTGTGATACATTTTGTGTTAATGTTATGAGGAAGATATCTCAAAGATATTTCCATTATGTTGCACTTTTATTGCATTAATAAAATGGAATAAATTGTGATGACTTCTTTATTAATTCATTTTCTTATTATTGCATTTTCAAACAATAATATATTCCAAATTGATACTGAAATAAAACCAGTGAGTTACAATCATTCAATTTATCCAGAAGGAAATCCTCTTTAGTTAATTGTTTCTTGTTTCTCAGAAATGATGGCCTAATCAATTTCAAGATATTTCTTCACATCCCTTGTCAGCATGCCCTTATCCATGCACCATGATTTCATCATTAGGTTCAGACTTCCCAATAACATTTTCTTTATTAAAAAATGCTTCATCAGTAGTTCAACCTCCATATCCTTATTAATGCCAACAGTAATCAGTCCTAATGGAGTGGTATTGCAATAAGAATTTGACTGAGTTTCTGTAATGTGTCTGTAGTTGTACAACAGGAGCACTGAGGAACATATTATCTTTCTAGATTTCTGTCTTCAGTCTTTTGTACTTGCTGCATGTTTTGGGAAAACAGTGAACAATCTCTTGGACACAAAAACATATTGGAAAACTTCAAAATTTATCAATATTCACTTGATTGCACAATGCTAAATTTGTTTGTTTTGTTTTTCACCTCCGCCATTTTCATTTTGCCGGTCGACAAAAGACGATGGGGAAACAGTGACGTCAGGGCAGGTCAATATGAGGCAACCTTATAGAGTTGAATAGCCTTGGGACTGGTCGTTGTCAAAATGTCAATGTCGTGACATGTGACGGTGACATATGAATATACTTAAAATGATAGAGAGGTCTTTTTGGTTAATTTTTGATCATCTGAACAATGGTCTGTTGTACTTGAAAGATAAAATGGAAATAAAAAGCAAAGTATCGATTATCGATGTAATGTTTTATTGAAAATACTGAAAGTAAATGAAGAAAAAATAGAGTAGGTAATTTGCACAAGAGTCAAAACGTGACCTTGTGACATTATGACATGTTGGGAGCGTTTTTCATTCCAACATTTTGTCATGCGCATGAATCGAAGAATCCATGGAACTGTTGCAAAATTCGAAAAGGTATATTCTCAGATATATTTATGAGCACAAAAAAAAATATATATATATATATATATACAGTGTGACCCGTTTAAGATGGAAGCACCCTTATAAAACTTACATTTTTCAACCGATTGGAATGATTTTTTTTTTGTTAGGTAGATATTCAAAAAGTCTATTAGGACACCAAATATCATGAATAAATCTCCATTTCCAGGGCCAACTAATCTGATTTTTCAAGGTCAAAAATCTAAAAAAATTACTAGCGATTTTTTTAGAAAAAATCTGACTACACCACTGGATTTGTGACATTTTCAAATGTCACATGTGAATTACGTTGAAATGCGTCAATCAATAAAAAAGTTATAAAGGAATGAAATTTGAAAAATATGCCGTTTAATCAACCCATCAATTTTTATTACTGAACAGATTTCGATGAAACTGTGATCAGTAATATTTCAAGACATCCTGAATCCAGTGGAGTATACAGAATTTTCATAAAATTCCTGAACATGATTGGGGTTGATTAAACGGCATATTTTTCAAATTTCATTCCTTTATAACTTTTTTATTGATTGACGCATTTCAACGTAATTTACATGTTACCCATTTGAAAATGTCACAAATCCAGTGGTGTAGTCAGATTTTTTCTGAAAAAATCGCTAGTAATTTTTTTAGATTTTTGACCTTGAAAAATCAGATTAGTTGGCCCTGGAAATGGAGATTTATTCATGATATTTGGTGCCCTAATAGACTTTTTGAATATCTACCTAACAAAAAAAAATCATTCCAATCGGTTGAAAAATGTAAGTTTTATAAGGGTGCTTCCATCTTAAATGGGCCACACTGTATATATAGGGGAATATACGCATATTACCCTCTGTGATCTCACTAAAGCATTTGACTGCGTGTCCCATGATATATTGGTTGTAAAAACTAACTTACTATGGAATACGTGGCATTCCATTGGAATTTTTTAAATCGTATCTGCGGGGGAGATCTCAGTGTGTTCTGGTGAATGGAGTTAAATCAGACTTGAAAGAAATCTCGCATGGTGTTCCACAGGGTTCAGTTTTAGGACCATCTCTGTTCATATTGTATATTAACGACTTATATTATCAGGTCCTCCCTAAAAATTGCATTCTCTTTGCCGATGATACAACGCTTATTGACAAAAATAGTAATCTACATGAGCTAACCCTCTCTTCTACCCACACCCTGGAATTGGCTGAGAGGTGGTTTTCCTCGAATAAGCTCATGCTCAACGCCGAGAAAACACAAAGTCTTCTTATATCGTCAAATCCTACAATTGCCGATGGAAATTATGTGAAATTACTTGGAATCCATATTGATGATAAACTCAATTGGTTGTCCCACATTAACAAACTTGCTAGTAGATTATCCAGTGCTATATTTTTAATTCGTAGACTGAAACAATCGGTGGGCATTGGTACCCTCAGGTCTAGCTATTTTGGTCTCTTTCATAGCCATATGACATATGGTCCTATTTTGTGGGGCAGTTCTTGTCATGCAAGCAAAATATTCATTCTCCAGAAAAGAGTTGTGAGGATTATGTCAGGTGCCGGATACAGTGATCACTGCCGTCCCCTTTTCATCAGGCTTCAAATCATGCCACTTCCAACTGCATATATTTTTCACACACTTATTGAAATACATAAAAAGAGACTGAAGCTCCCCTTACAGTCAGATTTTCATCCGTACCCAACAAGGACAAGTAACTTACTGAGAACTACTAGATACAGGCTGGCAGTATCTCAAAAGAATTCTTTAAACTTCGATTTCTACAACAAACTTCCGATTAAAATAAGACAAGTCAACGACTTCCAGTTTAAAATGAAAATCAAATCATTCCTTCTAAAGAAGTGCTTTTATTCAGCAGATGAGTTTCTCAATTACAGTTTCGCGGCGGATGATCTGTGAAGAACACTTTTTCTTTTCATGTAACGTGTCGTTTATCAACTCTTCATGTAGTTTTATTATTCAATTCTGTTACTTTCACTGTGACTTGCTAGTGTTAGCTTTTATTTCATCATTGCAGGCATATTGAAAGGGTCCGCATCATCTCTATTTCTCTATTATCATTAAGTTTATGACTATCCTTACAATATTTTATATATTTGTGCTGTTGTCCTGTCATACTGTTTTAATGACTTGTAGAATGATTTTAAAGTGTGTGTGTGATAAACCAGCGTCTTGTCTGTCTATTGTACAATTTTGACTTGCTACAAACATTCAAATATGTAACGTAGTTCAATAAACTTTACTTACTTACTTACTATAACAATAAAATGAAGGTGATATCGAGGGAACTGTAAAAAAACAAGGAAGAGATTATAGTGGACATAGCCCTCATGAATAAATAACCGTAGACACGTGTTTCGGGCTTTCGGCCCTCATTAGTACGGTGAAAAAGTGTGCAACAGGTAGGCAACACTTGGTAGAAAAAGAAACAACAAATCAGCGGACTGCGGAGTCAACAAACAGAAGCCAGCCGCACATGTGCGTTACAAGTCGGAATTCCGAGTTACAACTCGGAATAAAAATAAGTTGATGGCCTCTCTACGCCTTCGTACAAACTCAGCCTCCACAATTTTATTTCGAAAAATAATAATGAGAAAACATATGAATCTCAACATATCACGTGATGGGAATGGTTCGAACGATTTAGGCACTTTCAGCCATACGAAACCTCATCAACAGATATTGTTCACGTCTGCGTGATGAGTTCATTGCCACGATCTTCCCTCCAACAAGTCAGGACATGAATAAACCTGTCATGTCAGGAAATTTCATGTTGACATGAAGCAAAACGAATAAAAAATTGGAATAACATTCAATATTTATTTGAACTAACCAAGAAGGTGAAGATGTGATAAATTTTATAAGGCAAAAAATGTATTTGACTTTTCTGCTCATACCTATTCGTTTATGTGAGCTAGACTACTTACCTCAAGATATCAGCCCTTGAACAGGTTAATGCAAACCCAGTCAAATATCTCAGATATACTTGAAATATGTCCCTTAAAAGGAACAAATTTCATTTGAATAGGTATGTGGAGTAAAATGATCAACACAAAATATAGAAAATCTATAGGTTAAACATTTATTCAATGAATTTTACATAATAAGTACCTAGGTACCTACATCTTAAACATGATTAAGTGTGTGTTCTATCCGAGCATGCCCACTTTATGCACCTTTTCAGACCAATTAGTTTTTCATCAGAGCTTCAATTCCAGTGAAACATTGCTGCTGTGTTGCCAAGACCTGAAATCAAAACCATAGCTAATTTCATCTGATGTGAACCAGAAAGTCAACTTCAATCAGCTTTGCATTCAGTTGGTAGTTGAAAACAGCATAGATGAAACACTTAATCTATGAAAACAGTTATTCTTGTGCTTTGAAGTACCTACATATTATTTAACATTTTTTTCAAATTTTAATTAGTACTCACATATGTTTGTCTGAAAAACATGAATTTGATGATGGGAATGTGAACAAACAACTATTTAGCCAGATATTTCAAGAGAAAGTTCAAAATTTTGCCTTCTTTTTCCCCCTGTGTTGGATGCATTTACAGCTACTTGCTATTTTCATTATCAAATTTGTTTTTCAGACAAAATACATTCAATTCTACCCTTTTAATATTCCATACATCCATCTGTTAGTAGGTGAAAAAGAGCACAAGAGCACACAAATATGAGTCAAATTGAATATAAAAAAATATAATAAAAAAATCAAGGAATGTAAAACATCAGAAACCATAGAACAAAATAATTTTAACTCTTAATTCAGTTTGGTAGTAGGTATTATTTTACCTACTTGAAATAAATATGTTGATTAACACAATTCTCCTGAAATGTAAAAACTAAGTACTGCTTAAATCTAGAGAAAATTCTACCTTTTCATAAGCATCATAATCCTCTTCTTCATTAGCATCATAATCATCATCATCATAACCTTCATCCAGCTGTGCATTTTCATGTTCTGCCAATTCAGCTGTATGGAAATCTTCGCCACTCTCCATCTCATCCCCTGCATGATTTTGTTCATCCTCGGCCTTCTTATATTGTTCCTCCCCGGTTTTCTCAATGGCATCCTCATCCATGTAGTCGATCATCCCATTTCCATAATCGTCCACAAAGATGTCCTTCACCATCAAATCGAATCCGAACGTTTTCAGATTTTCTAGTGTTTCTCCTTCAACCAGTGTGAATAGATCACCTTCATATTTTCCTTCCCCATCGATATTACCGAACAGAAAGCCAATAATGCCAAAATTATTACCAATAGCTGACAGTGCTAACACCTGTGCATGGTCGGAGACGTTGTCAGACATCTTAAAACACAAAACAACAAAGTACAGGAAGAGACAAACTGACAACCAGTGATGGTAAAAACAACAAATAACTCACCGAACAGTTGAAACAAATCAATACCTCCTGCACAAATGCCTGCACACATAGTACTGAAGCAACTGACTGAACCAATATTTATTATCCATCACCAGAATTCCCGCGGTGGGGGAGAACGTTCAAGAGTGACGCGCCATCTAGCCAAGGACAGGTACGTTATGTCACTGTCTACATGACACATGTGCACGATTTCAATACTACCCGAAATGAACCACCGTGCCATAAAGGTGAGTTCCCAATGCAGCTTTTTTGCTTTTCGCGTCACGCGTCACGCACTATGATTAGTGACGCATAAATGAGAATTGCTGCACTGTTTTTTATGTAGTAGGCTTCAACTTCTGTTAGGTACAACTTGTCTCTACAATATCTGAATAATTAATGATGAGTCCAACCTTATCCCGTTTACATTACATGAAACTATATTAGTCACTATCAGCATATCTATCATTATGAGTTGAGTCAGATGCCTTTCCATAGGCGGGTGCCGCATTCATTATTTACTTCAGTTCCCAATGAAATTACCTACTCTTGTCGATGTGGTCGAAGTTTGCATTGAAAAATCATGAGAATATCTGAGAATACTGAATATATAGGATAATGCTTGCAAGATATACAGAGCTGCATCAGACATAAGTAATTCATCAAAAAACGAAAATAGCATAGTGAAAATGACATAATGAGGTAGGTACCTACTTCAGGAATACTGCAATGATTTACTTATCATGAGATCACTTTCTGAAATGAGGGTTTAATGAAGTTGCATTCGAAATTTCTACATTTTCATGAGAAATCTTGTACTGAAAGAATTTATATTGCTTTAATGAATGAGGTCTCTGGAACATAACCTCAACGCAACACAAAGCAGCAACGCCAAAAAGTTGAAATGTTTCAACTTCATCGCGTTGAATATTTTTCAAATTCAGCGTCACCAATCAGGTTGCGTGACGCGCGACGCGTAAAGCAAAAACGCTGCATTGGAAACTCACTTTAAGGATGCAATGCAAAAAAATTCCGTGTGGTCAGGATTATTCTACCTGTCTTGACAGCTATATGAATGTTTCGTCACAGTGTTTCGTGCAGTCCTTCAAGCCGATGGATCAGCTGAATATCAGATTGGATTATCTGGTGAATTTGAGAACTATCTGCTGTTTAAGCGGTGTTCGGAATCTTTCTTTCTTTTTTCGGAGTGATTTATTGAAAAAAATATGGTGGAGGCATTTACTGTTGGGGCTGATAGTGATTCGCTATTTCATTGATTTTTTTTTTTCAGAATCGGCCGAGAGCTTCATTATTGCTTGTGCCACAGTATATCGGGTGTTTCAAAACTCAGTATCAAGATTTCAAATGCTTTGTTATCAATCTTTACAGAGCGTTAAAATATTCCAAGATATTCATCTTTTTTTCTTTATAGCTCTCTTAGTAATCGAGATATTCAGATTGAATTTGAAACATAGGTTACGTTTAAGGGTTCACATTATATACTGTATATGTCGATTGACTGTAAGAATCACGGAGATATGTTTTTCACGGGACGAGCCCTTCATTCGCTTTATAACCTCTCTTGTAAGTCTTGTAGTGCGCCACTGGTAAATATAGCTATTTGTTCCTGTTTGTGATTTGTACCTTTTTTGTCTCTTGTAATATCAAAGCATCTGCAACCGTTATCGAGAAAAACATTTTTTTTTGATAATTCGCTGTAGAGCTGAAAACTAAAAAAAAAAAAGTTACATATTCAGTTTTTGATTCTTATTACAAGTTTCACAACATAATATACATACAACATAATAATCTAAAGAGTAAGATGCCGAAAAAACCTTGACTTTTCCTATTAAAGGTGTTGAAAAATAAAATAATCTCAAAACTCAAACACTCTGTATATCGGTAACGAAGCGTTTGCGGACACATACTTATAGAAAAAAAAGTATTATTTTGATTTGAGAAATAAGTCCCTGAAACCCTGACACAGAGTTTTGGAGCACCATGTATAATCAATCGTATATTATTATGGTTACTTCTTGTGCTTCCGCTTGGATTATTTGTTGCGCTCTGTCTCTATAGATGGACCAATTCAGGTACTATTGAATTCGTGAATCCTTGCCACTTGTTGCTTCCATTCGAATATGGCCACCTACAAACAAACAAATGACGCATGACGCGAGTGTTTGTTTTTGTTAATTTGTAATTTGTGGATTTTTGGATTTTGGAAACTTTTTAGAGCATTATTTCATTCAGTTTTGGTTGTAATAATTATTGTGATAAGTTATATTAAAGGGAAAATGCCAGTAACGTGTATTGTGGTTGATTGTGGAAGCCGTGCAGATCGGGACCATTTTCTCAGTTTTTTTCGTATTCCTTCTGTGAAAAACTCTGTGCATTACCCAGAGATAAACGAACTCTCAAGAAAAAGAAGGGAAATGTGGATTGCAGCCATCAAGAGAGATGATCTAACAGAATCAATTCTGAAAAACCAAAGAATATGTAGCAAACACTTCATAACAGGTACCGGAGAAAAAAAGAGTTTTCAATATTATATTGTACTGTATGGAAACTTGTAACTATTTAAATTTTGATAAAGAAAATCAATAATTAGTGTTACATTTGATGGTCCTACACAATTTGGAAACATCCTATTCCTAATACAAACATAATTAATGTACTTTGCAGGTAAACCTAGTGCCTTGAATGATGAAAATCATCCAGATTGGGTCCCATCCCAGCATATGGGTCATCAACTTCAAGCCCATTCAAAACGCAAGACTGACGTGGATGGTAAATTAAGAGCAGACAAAAAGATTAAATTGAGCAATCAAACCTCAGAACCAGACTTGGTAAGTTTTCAAGTAAATATCTACTTACCTAAATATAAGTAAATAATTCACATCATGAAGTCTTGCTTTGTTGCCAATTTTGGTATCATCTAGGTATACTCATAATACATGTAAAATATATATATTTTACAGTGTAATGAAGAAACTGTCCTGGGAGATGAAGGCATAGAAGATGGCTGTGCTTCACAAACAGACCTTACAATGACTATGTTGGCCAAAAAACTGGAGCAGCTCAATTGTGCCTCCACAAAATTAGCAGAATTAGAAAAAAAAGTTGAAACCAGTCCCCTGGGTTTAATGGACGATATTAATAATGTAGGGAAGTGGAACTATTATACTGGGTTCAACTATGAAGTCATCAATGTAGTTATATTTCCAGCCATAGAACCTTATGTGACTTCAACAATCCTCAGTCCATTCAATCAACTTTTACTCACTTTAGTTAAATTGAAGTTAAATTTACAATTCACAGACCTGGCTTTTCGCTTCAAAGTGGCTGCCACCTCAGCATCATCATTGTTTCAAAATATAATTCATATCATGTATTCACGCTTCAAAAGCCTTATAATTTGGCCAGATAGTCCAGAATCTGGATTGAACCTTCCAATATGTTTTAAGGAAGCATTCCAAGACAAAACTACAGTAATCATTGATTGTTTTGAAATTTTTATTGAAAAACCTGACCATTATTTGACACAGCAGCAGTGCTGGTCAAGTGATAAACACCATCACACCATCAAATTTTTAGTTGGTATCACCCCACAGGGGACGATTAGTTATATAAGTAAAGGTTGGGGTGGTCAAGCTTCTGACAAACAAATAGTAGAGTTGAGTGATTTTTGTAATTTTATCAAACCTGGTGATGTGGTTTTGGCTGACAGAAGATTCGTAATTGAAGAAAAATTAGGCATATTTGAAGAAGAAAATGTTGTTATTTCTGCATTTACAAAGGACAAAAGTCAATTACATCCATTAGATATTGAAGCAACAAAACATATTGCACATGTTGGAATTCATGTTGAGAGAATTATTGGAGGCATGAAAGACAAGTTTAGAATTTTTGAAGGACCATTACCAACAAGCATGCTGAAAATAGGGGGTGAGAAAGTATGTATTCTTGATGAAATAATGACAGTATGTAGTGCATTAATCAACATTCTTCCTCCAATAGTTCCTCTATAACTTACTGCATTCAATATTTTTTTTAGTTTTCAGTATATGTTGACTTTTTAGTATATTTTCAGTTTTATTATACTGTAATCCCTACTCTGTTTATTATGAATCAATGTTCAAATAATATGAATATATATTTTTTTAGGAACTCATTAAAGTGAGCTAAAAGACTATTCACTGAATTATATCAGAAATACATACACATTTAAAATAGAACCATTTGATTTCACATTCATAATTTTCATGAGTTTTTTTTTTAAGGCTTTATTCAAATGGTTCACAATCTGATCTTAATTATTTTCAATTTAGTACATTACTGTTTTCCATGCTATTTGAAAAATAATTCCAAATCAGCATGTGATGCTGATCCTTGAACTTCTTAAACTACACACATTCATTTCATTGTTACTATCCTAACCTGATTTTCATACACTTATGTTATTGTTAGAGATTCTTTTTGACAACTCAGTTTTAAATATTTTTATGTTATCGGCTTCCCTCAATGCCACTGGTAAACAATTGAAAGTTTTGATACATTTATTGAAGAGGGTTATTTAAAGGATGTTCGTTCTTGTGGGCTTGATGTATATATTTCTTTGGTTCCTTGTCTCATAGGAATGGACTTCATGGTTTAATTTAATTCGTGAAATGTATATATTTCTTTGGTTCCTTGTCTCATAGGAATGGACTTCATGGTTTAATTTAATTCGTGAATTACACTTCTGTTCAGATTTGCAAACTTTGTATATGAATTATTTACTCTGTTCAATTTTCAATATTTCTGAGATTGGTAAAATGCCAGTTTGCTTATAAACCTGTTTTGTTCGTGTTCTGAATTCGATGTTGAATAAAACTTTTACAATTTTATTCTGTAGTTTTACTGCTTTCTCAAATAATAATAATAAAATAATAATACCCTTTATTCAACAAAATATATGGTATTATATAATAGTGTACAGGGTGGGCCAAATTTGACACTTTTAAAGGGACAGTCCTATTTCCAAACTAGATAGACGAAAACTGATGTCGGTGTCTGATGGTCAATTTTTATGACAAACTCAATGGTGAAAACTGCACATCGATATCTGTCATCGTTTCTGAGTTACAGCATGTTTTTCGAAAAATTGCTGTAACTTTTTTCCTGTCGAAAATTTGTTGTTTCTATGAAAACATTTCCAAAGCACTTTTTCACGTGTAGGATTCAATGATATAAGAATGATGGAAGTAAGATACGGTGAGCGCTTTCGGCCATTATTACGTATTGAAAATTTCAGAAAAATCTCTCGACCGGCCTACTATGATTTCTCTACGTCACAACGAGCGAGACGTTGATTCTACATTTTCCCGCTAGATGGTGATGCTGCTATTGCTGCTGTGACGAGTGGAAATAAAATGGAAAATGCCATTTTAGGTACGCGGAACATATGTAACAGTGGGATGAAACAACTCATAATCCGAAAAATCTGCGACAATTTCAAAACTGACAGGAAGTCATAATTGTGCAATGTCGCCATCTATTAGAAGATCAACGGAACCATTGCTCTCGCTGCTCTCGAGAGGTCGAGTAAAATTTCTGAAACAAAAGCGCATCAGTAATTACACCATATCTTACTTCCATCATTGATATAAGTAAGCTCTCTACTGTGATCAAAGTCAGCTTCATTAGAAATCTACAAACAAACTATGGTTTTGATAGTTTATTCATGCAAGGAAATTTACTGATTAGCTGAGAAAATTTATGAAAACAGTTTCCTGATGCAATTGTTTCTTGAAATATGAAGTTTTCATGATGAAGCACTGTAATGAATGATATTTTGATTTAGCTCGTAATAAGACTCTTTCAAACAACTGACAACACAATTAATTCGAGAACTACCCGATGGATACTCAAACAGAAATCAGATACAAAAGCTAATGAATAAATGAACGTCTCACCAACACAAGAAGATTTTTCTATCTCTGCTGAAAAATAATAAAAATATTGGGCAAATTGCCTCAACAAAAATATTGTAAGAAGTGGGGGGCATTCCTGATCTCTACAAGTTTACGTATTTATTGACCGCAATCACTAGCCTAGATATAGCGTTTGACGAAAGAAAAAAAAGTAAATATGAGGGATTTAGATGGAAGGATACTGTGAATCTGTAGAATGATGTAGAATACGACGTCAGAGATTAGTTACCCAACTTATCTCTGACGACGTGAAGTTGTACCTTACTTATAGCAGTCTGCGTGATATCAGACAGAAACGAAATTGTATACATAATTTGAATGGATCATATCAAATATATTGAAATATCTATAGAAAGGTGTTTGAGGTATGATCCTCCTTAAAAGTGAAAAAATAAAATTAGACAAGTTTCTTTATTGGTGGGTTGGGTTTAATACAGCAGTTTGTCAATGCAGCAGTTTGAGTTATTTGGTTTCAGCAATATCAAAATGTCTGGTAGATATGCGAAACAATCACAAGAAATATAGACAAAATATTTATTCAATAAGATTTACAATAAGTATTGGTAGGTACAATAATCTTATTAAACAATATAAAAGTTTGTGTTCCATATCATCAACATGCTCACTTGCCAAGCCCACTTTTTTTGGGCTTTCAGTATTCAGAGATCTGGAATCAAAAAACCTCGAAATTTTATCAATTTGACACTTCAAATAATGTTTACCTACCTATTCATCATCAGCAGCATCATACTCCTCATCTAATTCTGTACTTTCATCTTCTGCCAACTCAGTTTTTGCCAAAAAAATCCTGTTGATCCTGACTATCATCAATACTATGGGAATTGCTGTCGGAAATGCTATTCATATCTTCCTCTTGCTTCAATAAGACCGTCATTTCTTCCCCAGATATTATGGCTTCCTCATTGTCGTCCATCAGTGCGACTCCTTCTATTATCACTTCATTGAATATCAAACTTAAATAATAAAAAGGAATCAATATTTGGAAACTGAAATTAAAAATGATAAATATACCTTTTAAGGTTCTTGAGTTTGTCTGTCTCTTCTTCACTGAACAATCCATTTTCTTCTTCCAAGTTCATACCATTGTCTACATTCCCGAACATGAATCCAACGAAATTGATTTCTACCATTTTCAACTCTAAATAAATTGCCTCCTTTCCTCTAAATCTTTACAAGCACCACCTCTTTTCCTCAACTGTTCAACTACTATTGAATATCCCCAATTCACTTTTATATATTATGTTTTCCAACAACCGAGTTACCTCAACAAAAATGTGAACATAATACCGCACAACCCAATACCAACAGACCACTGAGGCAACTGAACCGGGCCTGTCTCTGTACCACTATTTATTGCCTCGTCAGCGGAATGCTGATGGTGGGGGGAATTTTGAATCTCTGCGCGTCATCTGTTAACCGGAGCACACACTTCTAACTGTCATCCTCCATTTTGTAGGTTTACCAAATATGGGGACGACAGTCTGGCTGAGGAGTAGGGGTAATGCTGATCGTTAATCGTCACTATCGTCAGATAAGTTATCCGGGTAACTTATTCTGGTCCCGGTTTCGAATCTCATACTCAACCTACTTTTTTTTCGAAGTGATTGAAAAAATAGGGCAAAGGCATTCACTAGGCCGATAGTGTTTTTATATTTTGATGTCCGACGTTAGTCGGTAGTATCTTCTGGTACTGAATAACGGACTATTTGAGACAGTCCGAAACCATCAAAAGTATGCGCAATTTCACAGAACAGTACGAATTTATCAAGTTCCGTGGAACTGCGCATGCTTCTGATGGTTTCGGACTGTTTATTTTTCGAACGCGAACAAACCTAATGACTAAAGAGCTTGTGTGGTGCACGAATCTATTTTGCCCAAACATATGCATAGGTGATTCCTATACCAATCAGAACAATCCAAAAAAAGCGCATGCGTGTTGACAAATGTCTTTAGACAGTAATAAGACAGGGTGCGACCATGGTGCAACAATTAATCCATGTGCGGGCACGAGCAACTGCTTGTGTCGACTACAATCTTTCTTGAAAAATGAAAAGGAGTATTCTCCGAATCGTGATTGGGTTTTCTCAATTCAAAATTTCTTTCCACGAGCTGTATGATGAAGATCAATGATTCATCCTACATTATGAATACATTATTTCTTCCTACTGTAATTTTCAAGTACCTCCGTGACGCAGTTGTTGGGCGTTCAAATTCCTTGTCAGCGACCCGGGTTCAATTCCTGTGACGTTCTGTTATTTTTTATTCTTTTTTTTAAGGGTTTTTTCGAAAAAAAATATACCTGTAGAAAAAAGGTTCATTTGGAGCAAGTAAGGTCGTTATAGAGCGTTGAAAAAAAGAGAGGGGACTACCGTTTTTATGCAGAAGGGATATTTGTTTCCTTCCTCCCTGAAAATAGTACTGAGGTGGAGGCATTTACTGGTAAGGCCGATAGTGATTCGATATTTCAAAGATGTTGATTTCCAGGATTGACCCTGAGCGAAGCTGTCGGCCGGAAATTTTCTGTAGACTTGACTCCGCGCCAATTAAGGGCATTGGTTATTATTATTCCACTATGATGTGGAAATGTTCATTATTCGAATGTACCGTCAATCGCTCTGATTGGTTTTCTATACATATGTTTGGGCAAAACTAATTCGTGCTTGGCTGGTTACCTGCTTACTTTTACTTATCCGGCCCTGCGTGGCGTGGTATTAGACAGAATTTAAATTGATCAAAATAAATAGCGTAATTCAATAATTCATTCCGAAACTATCAAAATATTTGAGAAGATGAGTGGACGATGATGAGATATTATTTTCAAAATTCTAATGAGGGATTTAACTAGAGTCTCATCGATTTCCTGAGACCTCTTGAATTCAAATAGTTTAAGTGACTGCGATAGACTAGGGAGAAGATACCTTCGAAAGCAGGGTGTGAATATTGAATAGACACATGTAATACAGACATTGTATTCATTTAATAAGATTTACATCTTCTATTCATATAAAGTTTGTGTTCTATCATCACATGCTCACTTTCATCGCCAACTTCTTTTTGAGGTTTCTTATAGGACGACTTCGGATTCTTCCCTTGAAACATCGCAGTTTTCAGAGATCTGAAATCAAAACCACAAAATTTTATCAATTTGAGACTTCAACCAATGTCTACCTTTTCATGATCAGCAGCATCATAATGCTCATCTAGTTCTATACTTTCATCTTCTGCCAACTCAGCTTTATCTAAAAAATCCTGTGCAATAGGAGATTTGGTATAATCATATCCATGATACTGGTTGTCAATGCTATCCGAATGGGTGTCAGAAATGATATCCATATCTTCCTCTTGCTTCAATATGAACATAATTTCTTCCTCAGATATGGCTTCCTCATTGTCATCCATTAGTGCAACATCTTCTATTATCACGTCATTGGAGATCAAGCTTGAATAAAAACAAGGAATCATAATTTGGAAACTGGATCTTAGAAATGATAAATACCTTCCAAGGTTCTTGAGTTTCTTTCTCTCTTCTTCACTGAACAATCCATTTTCATCTTCGAAATTCATTTCATTGTCCACATTCCCGAACATGAATCCAACGAAGTTAATTTCTTCCATCTTTGACCGCAAAATATCTTTTTTCCTTTTCTCCAAATCTTTACAAGCACCACCTCTCTTCCTCAACTGTTTTACTACCACTAAAGGTGGATAATTTTCATCATGCTACCACTGAATATCACTTCCTCGCTCACTTTTATAACTCTCCTAGCAAGTAGCAACAGAGTAACCAAAACCGAGATGTAAACAAAATACCGCACAACCAAACACTAACAGAGCACTGAGCTGAAACAACTGAACCGCACCTGTTTCTGTACCACTATTTATTGCCTCGTCATCGGAATGCTGATAGTGGGGGGAACGCGGAGACTCTGCGCACCATCTGTTGAACGGAGCACTCACTTCTAACTGTCAAGTCATCCTCCATTTTGTAGGTTTAGTAAATTTGGCGACGACAGTCGAGTTGAGGAGTAGTGGTAATCCTGATTGTTGTATTTCCCATCGTAAATTTAGTTACTAATATTCGTTCTGTATTGGCAAGGTGACGATTCCGATACGGCACCTGGTGGGCAAATTTGAACCAGTTTAGGACGTAATTCAAGGTCATGTTTGTTGTGTTCTCAGTGGGTTTCATATTTTATGAATACCATTCAACAAATTACGTTAATTTTCTCTTCTTGCTTCTCTTGAGTACAAGACATGAACTTTATATCAATTGCCTAATCAATTCTATATTATTTTATAACAAATCTCTGATAATATGCAAAAGCAACTGTGTTTGGTTGCTGGTTGAACTAGGTAGTAGAAGGTTCCAATGGAAAAATGTAGGACCTATAATGTCCTCTAATATGAATTTCCTGCACTCAAGAAGTATTTTCTGATAATGAAAAATCAGTTCAGTTGAATGGAAAAAATGGATAAACGTTGAGAATCCAATATGAATTTTAAAAGTGGATGTATGCAGCTCCAACAAAAACTTCCTACCTTTCTTTACTTCATTGGTCCAATAATGATAACAATAAGGTAAATTTGTGATTCATTGATATATTTATTACTGATGAATAACACTTATTTGCAGTGCCTATCTGAGAGAGAACATGATTGAAATGATCAACAGTTCATACCGAGGTTCATACCTATTTTGTTTATGGGAAAATGTCTCCAGGACTTGGAAAAATAAGTATGGTTGTTTTTCTTTCAAATATTTATAAAAGAAAAATTAAGAAGCAAATTCAATGCCTTTGACTTTTGAACTGCATTACACAAAGCTGGGCAAGAAAAAAGACATGAACATGTGCAGGTGGGTAATTTATGGTTTTATTTGTAATGCTTGACTCATATAAAAATCTTGTTCATGACATCCTGCCTAGGCCTCTATAGATTCCTATTTTGTAGTATCATCTCTGTAGTAAAATAGCCAATGCAGATTGCATGTACCATAGATCCATGTACTCTCAAAATTATTAAGTTTAAATACAGCTCCCAATTACATTTAAATGAGCAAAAACAGTAGCCGAGACAGTAGCATATTTTATAGATATATAATAACCCTGGTACAAGCAGGTCATTGTAGGTAGCTTACTTCATAGCTTGAATTGAATCTTTGAACATACATTGAAATGACACAATCTATTTCTGTTTGAATATTTAGATTGTGTAATAGCTAATAGATATGGTTTGTTTATACTTATACTAACATTTCTTCAATTTTTCAGCAGGGGAGGAGTTGCCATCCAGGGTATCTTGCAATTGAGTGCAAATAGTTACACAAATTGAAACCAAAACCCAGATTCCTTGAAGTTGAGTTCAAGTTTTTAAGGAGATATCACTGATTATTTTGGTACTTGAACATAATATCCATTCCATGACATTTCAAATTGTATCTTGGAATAATTTATTCATAATTTTACTGTTTGTATGTTATTATTAAACTGTATTTATTCATAAGTAAAAGTTCTACTTTTTTTTCTTTTTGTAATGTTTTATTGTAGGTTTTTATAATTCATATCTCAATTCCACAACTACCTCAATCAACACCTCATTCTTTTTTGATGAAATTTCAAGTTTCACTTTATAATCTTTACCCATTCCTTTTAAAATAGGTACCTACCAGGTAGATACTTACTTTTGCTCATTTTTAATTTATTTATACATATATGAAAGTCCTGGATTTCAAATTCATTTATAATTGTAAATTTTTATGAAGGTATCTTGTAAAATGATTCAGGGAAAAACAGTATTCATGAGCACTGAGGGAAGTAGTATACTGGAAGATCCTTCTATTTGTAGATACTTCTTTCTTGACTTCTTTGGAGTGGTATAAGTACAGTAAAACACAGGTTATGTCAATGTACTTTCATATTCCAAAATTATTATTAATTCAGATCCAAAATATACAAAACATAATGAACTATACAGATTGATAAGATAGATATTTTCAATAAGATGAATTTAGGATTACAAAATGATATCAAATCACAAAATTTATGATAATATACTGTGTAAATACATTAACTGAAATCCTATAGGTCATTTCATCAATGTTTCATGTGGTGGAATTCCAAATTATTCAATGATTTCATCAATATGGTAAAAAAACTAGCTTTACAAGATATTAAATGAATTCCAAGAAGAAAACTCAGTCTAGGATGCCACCTACATCAACTCTAAGTATATTAGGAATATTTTCATTATGAAAAAGGTGTTATATGGATACAATTCACACACATGGCACATAGGATCATGACAATTTGCTGTTATTGCAGTGGAGCACCATAATATATGAGGTATGGGAGATGCACTGTAAACAATCCTTAAAGCCTGGAAGTAATATTGTTGAAGATAGGCAATTGATAGTTGTATCTACTATTAAATCCACAGTAATGTCAGGATGCCTTTGGTGTTGAATTATTTCTTGGTTTAGACTCATTAGAGCTGGTTGCTGCTGATTTCTTTTGTATGGATCAATTGCAGATGATTTTGATGGCTATAATATTTAGCACAAAATAGTCGAATAGGTTAACACATTGTTTAGGGATGGTTTTCAATATGTTCACAGAAGGCTGTTCACTGTTGGAAAACTCCACTCCTCAGCACTCCTGGTATCACCATTTGTGGTCTGTAGGGAATATACTGTGGTATCACCATTTGTGGTCTGTAGGATCCTTTTGCTTGAAGAGTGGAGTTATAGAGGTATGATGGTGAATATATATCAGCTTCTGATGATAGTGGATATGCTTGTGATTTTTGATATCCCATAAAGCTGTCCCACAGAAATGCACTGGTTTGAAAAAAGCTCAGACTATTTGGTCCACGATTCAGTCAGTAGGTAACAGTTATTTTCCTCACATCACGATGAAACAGTATTATTCAACAAAAAATATTATGATTTCACTAAAAAATTCAACAATAAACACCAATAACACGATGAAATATCAAGAAGAAAATGTATGCAAATCTCAAGAAATTTTGTAAACAAACAACAAACTACACACTCTTTGCCGCCATCTTGTTTTGAAACAGCGCCCCCAACGGTCGATCACCTTGTCAATTGTGTACAGGGTTGGGATTGTTGTTACAATTGTAATATTTCTATTACAATCGCGTCTCAGTTATTACGGTATTACTACATTGACGAAAACAGCCAATATCTATTACACTTTGACTGGAGGTAGTAATTCAAGTTTGAGGGCAACGTCAGGAAAAAACGGCAACGTTAGTGGGGTAATTTTTTCAAACTTGTGTTTTATGTTCTGTAACTGAGTTTATTTCTTCTGGTAATAGTTTTGTCAATTTTCTTACGAAGGATTTTTACAATTCCGAACCTAAAAACCAAGACATAATAACTCGCCTAATAATCTGATAATACCGATTTCATTTGGTGACGACTCAAAGCGAGGTATGAAAAAATGAACGAGTAAAACAAAAATACTGTCTGTAGGTTATTTTCATCTTATAGAAACGAGGAGAGAAAATCCCAAAAAATCTGGAATAATGAAAGTAAAATATATGTTATGTTCTGAAACTTATCTGTTCTGGAGATCATGATGATTTGAGATTTTCATTATTCACATTTTTCGCTCGGCTATTATCCATGTATCTATATTTTGTCCTTATATGAAATGTAAAATCCCAAAAAGTTATTCTTACTAGAAATACAATGTTATCAGTTGAAAATAGAATATTCATCTTGTCATATAGAAGCTAAACGTTTAGTGAGACTGAGTTAATTCATTTAGCTTTTTCAGTTCCTATTTTATTCTCAGTTTTTATTCATTGTGGAATTGAGTCTGTGTTGTTTTTTATTTTTTCTTAATTTTTCCTGGACAGTCCAAAATTCTAAGGTACATTGTAACCAAAGAATCTCCTCTTGTAAAATTATAAAAGGGAAATTCAAATTTGCCGCGCATTGTTTCAAATCTATTACATTCTATTACATTTTGCTACCAAGATTCAGTACAAACTGACACTAACGAAATCCCAACCCTGATTGTGTATATCTCAGACCGAACTGTCCTATATCAGATCAAGTCAATGATGGCGTAAAAACTATTATCAGTTTTCGTCTTCTCATAGAAATACCTATAACCTACCTATATAATTGATTCAGAATCTGTTCAAATCATATCCAATTCATTGATTGTGTTTTAGGATGTATACAATATACAATAGCCATTATTGAGGATTTTGAGTCAAAATTGAATATGTTGTGGGATGTAAACAATTGCCATTATTGAGTATATGTTGAGTTTTAATTGAATTCCTGATATTTCTATGTACAGGTCCGCCATCGAAAAAATATACCAATCGCTAATGACATCCCAAGAAGTTGTGACGGAATCAAGGATGTTGAAAATTTTCGGCGATGTTTGGCTAAAAGAGGGCGTTAGTTGTTGAATCAAAATGCAGTCTCTGTAAATCAGTAGATAATATTCGATTCGCATTCGTTTACATTTACACTGACATACTGATTCATTAATGTTGATAATTAGCAGGTGTTTGTAGACGCACAGATTAACAAAAGGTTTGTTAATCTGTGGTAGAAGCATCTAATCAGATTCTTCGCGCATTAATTCACTTCGTAATGGCGGGTGGGCGGAGTTTATAAGCGTTTTGCCCTCACTGTCTTATGACACAGATTTTATGATATGAAGTAAGCGCTGATGGAAATTGGAGATTGTGCACCTCTAGTTTCAATTAAAACTCATTCTCCGATTCGGACTGGACTTTTATTACGCCCTATACCGTTACCACCGATACAACAAGGCCTGCATGCTCCGTGTGGGTGACGTCACTTAGTGAGGCCTAACCAGCGGCTCGAAACGACAAGCGCTTATAGCGCTATATTAGGCGACCGCGTATTTCGATTTTAGTTTTAGATCATCATTGAGCGATTTTGCTGTTTTTTGAAGGGCTCTTCCGGTTAAA